TTAATGCTTATGCACAGTATAACAATAGTTCTGATGATATTTTTCACTTATATTTACTTATTTTGCAACAAAACCAAAAACTTGATCCTGAAGAAAAATAAGAATTTAACTTCTTAATTTATATATATTTATATTGGAATACTACACAAGTATATGTATCAAGTAATATAGGACTTTTTGATTAAGACTTGAATATCGAACCCATAGGGAAGATTATGCAATATGCACTTTTTAGAAATTTTTTAATTTTTAAAAAGATAATTACTTAAACTAAAAACGATTTTTTGCAGGAATTTAAAATTTAAATATTTTTGATATTTTGATATTTTAACGAAATAGTAACAGCTTAAAAAGATAACTAACGTTTTTGTAGAAGAAAAATACTTAATATGAAAATATCTTTCTTCTTATCATGAATCAGTAATACGTATAGGAATTCTGTTATGAAAGTATACAAATAGTGTTGTGCCAAATAGGAGCAATAATATTATTTACTCTTACTAGAGATGCTATAAAGAACAATGACTAATTTAATGTTTGAATAATTCTGACGACCGGCTAGGCATGGAAGATACTAGCTCTCACTCTAGAGTTCCCTTGATTCCCTCCACCTAGGGCTAACATTCTCGTATAATAACCTAAAACAATAAACCAAGTTGGGGGTTTTAACCTGTCACTTTAAAGTCCTCTAAATCTACACCCATCAATGAATATTTCTCTATTTATTTGCACTCAATCATATGAATTACATTCTCATTCATACAGCCTCATGTGATTCTTTCCAATTGTTCACTGAGACAATACCAGCCCGGTTCTTACATGTTCTCGCAATAAATTTTAATATATGGATTGGCCAAATCAAGAAGTAAATGAAGTACATGGATTTAAATCATCACAACTTCTTCCAACATTAAGGATCAATACTCTCCACAACTTCAATTCAAAACTTAATTGCTTATCATTTTAAGAAGGAAGATAAAGAAAACTACTCAGAATCCATGGAGAAAATAAAAACCACACTTTAGATTAAGGAAGAAATCATTGTCAAACCAACAACAAGTCTCAATTAAAAACCAAAAGTAGTCTAAAACAAAAAGATAAAAACTTATCTCAAGTCCTCCACAAAACTCTTGAAGTTCCTTTAAATTTCTTCTCTTTTACAATCACTCAAAACAAAATAACAAAAAAGATAAAGTAAATAAAAAGTGGTTCCCGAAAATCTCTTCGAACTAACTCCACAAAGAAGAACTTTCAAAACTTGCCAATATTTTTAGGACTCTTTTCTAAGTCCTCTCTTCTTTCTTTAATAGATTTCCAAGAGGTGTCTTGGGATCTCTTCAAAATGTGTCTTGATTCGATGCATTTGCCCAAGAGACGCATCTTTTCATGATAATTTTCGTCCATGGTGGTTACAACCACCTATTAAGCCAATGGGTGCCTCTAAAAATCTCTTTGAAATTCGTGAAAACTGATTTTACTCGTCTAGTATCTGCCACTGGCACTTAAGCACGGGGTCTCGGCGCTTAGGCGCGACCTTCTCTATTTAACCGGAGCTTGGGCGTCAAAACTCTTTTGCACAATTTTTCACATTTTTGCTCCAAATTTGATCTTTTTTCACTCCTTTAAGTATTTTTTTCATTTCTTTAAGTTAAGTATTTTTTTCATTTTTACTTATATCTGCAAGAAAAACACAAAAATACCTTCCATTAAAGCGCAATATATCAAAAATAGGTATAAAAATGTGTCTAAAAACACTATATATTTTAGGTGTATCAATTACCTCGTAGGTATGCCTTTTGGGGATATAAGTGAAAACTGTGCCTGCCACTTGCCCTCAAAAAGTTTTCCTAGTAAGGATTGTGTCCACTGCTGGCATCTTAATGAGACTAACTCATAGGTTTGTCTTTCAGGGGTATAAGTTGAGAATGTGTCGGCCACTTAGAATGTTAGACCTATCTGAAGTTATTCGTCGGATTATTACTTGATGACATTAATAAACATGAAAGAGGATAAAAGAAATCCGTTGAGGATGTCAAACTTATCCAATATTTTTTCTAGGAGTATGGCTTTATGATGTTAACCTTTGTAGAAGAGGTAAAAAAAATCTACTAAGGATGTTAAACCTATACAAGGTTATTTGTCGGAACATGGCTCAATGATTTCTGTGAGAAAGAGGTTGAGAAAACAACTAAGAATCTTTAACCTATCATAAGTTGTTGGCTAAAGAATGGCTCGACCACGCTAACCTGTGTGAAAGTAGTGAAGAGTAATCCACCTAGGATAGATCATCATGACTTTAGGACACTAACTTGTGTGGAATAGGTCGAGCTAAGTCTCCCTGAGATCAATTAAGCTTACAATGTGGCATTAGAAATATTTAGTTTTATGAATATGTGGTGTAGGTCAAGATGGATCGTACATTTTTTAAGAAAATATGGTTACTACAATACACAAGGAAGGGATTTGGTGACTTACTTGATATTTGTTTTAGGTTTGTTTCTCTCAAGTGAGGATATTATCTACATGAGCCAGTTATTTTATATGAAGTGGTCCAATTTTCCCTGTTAAATTAACGTTTCAATTTCTTCTTTAAGTTGATGGCATGATTTGGTGGTATGACCATGACCATTACCATAGTGGTAGGGCAAACAAAATTGGAGGTCGATAAGGGAGATTGGTGTGTGGATCTGACATTATTGAAGATAGCTTCTTAACTAGGTTTAGGAGAAACATGAGTTTGGGGAAGGGATGCTGGAAGAGCATTCTCTTGTTGAGCATCTCCAATTAATAGTTGATCTTGTGGTAAGTAAGCTCCGCTAATTGACACTAATGTCGATTGTCAAGTCTCGCATGAGAGCTGAAGAATTTGATTTTGAGATTCCTCCATTACATGGACGTGATCTTCTATGGGCAAGGGGCTCATTCGTTGGTAGGTTAATGTCTATCTGACAAATATAATAAGAGGCATGACATCCTAGCCTTGAGACCATCCACAGAAAGATGGGTTTCAAAGTGGGCAACTCAATTATTGCATGTATTATGCTTAGGAGTCATACAAAAGTGAGAGTATGGTTCCCATAGACGATGTCAAACTATTGTGTAACATTGTACGAAGATCCATCACATAAGTAAAATGAAATTTAGGGAGGAGACACCAAGATTTATTACGTGAAAAATCTTAACAAGAGAAAATCATGAGGTCTAACTTAGTCAAAATAATCTATTATGTAATAAATATTGCAATGATCCGCTCTTCACTTAAATTATGAATGATGGGATCACCACAAATTTATAATATTAGTTTATCTATAACAACTATAATTAGTTTATGAGAACAATATTTAGTGGCTACAACGCAGTAGTTGAGCACAAAAACTGTAGTTTGTTGTTATAAGGGTTGTAGTTGGTTGTATCAATTATTTGTGATCAGAGTCATAGTTTGTGGTGGTCGACGATAACTGGTGATCGACAATGGCTTTTAATGTTTGATGGTGACAATTAGTGGTCGACGCTTAACTCTATTGGTTGGTCGCAATCTCAGATGACTAGCGATAATCGCCAGAAATTTAAGAGGAAAATTTTAGTAATTAGCTCTTTCCTTTTTCCTTTTCAAGAGAAGAATGAATGTCTATTTATAGATTTTTAGATGGGTGTTTTAGTAATTTTGACCTAACTCTCAAAACACTCAATCGAATGGTTCACATTGATTCCCCTGATCATAAGTAATTTTTTTTTATATTAAAGTATCTTAATAGCATTGAAATTGAATGATCTTCGGAATGTTGGATTCCTCCCATGGAGACACTCAATTTGAACATAACCATGTCAAATTTTATGATCATTTAACATTCCAGGTGACCAAAATCTTTTACTATATTTCATGTGTTTGATCTAGGTTCATTTGGACTCAGATTAGATTGCTTTCAATGTCATTAAGTTCATCTTAATGAGACTCTTAGTTTGACAATAAACTTATTGAAATCAAGTCTTATATGATCTTTAATTAAATTTAAAATGTTTCTAGCTCAAAATACATTAAGATTCGGGCCTAATGATAAAAACTTCTTGATAAAGCATAAACATGCATTGGTATTGTGTTTTTTTATTGAACATAATTGAGCATTTGCCCATATGCATTGGTATTGTGTTTTTTTATTGAACATAATTAAGCATTTGCCCATTACATAATTCAAAGCAATTAATAGTACTGTCTGATGTACTTGAAGCGGCCAAAATCAAAATCAAATAAGCCTATACTGGCAAAATATCGTACAAAACTTGTTGCATCACAATGTGTACATGGACATTTTGATCATGTGAATCTACATATATTTGAAAGCTAGAGAAGCTAGCACCTTATCTCGTGCTAACTAAGGTTGCATGTGAAAACTTGGTAACACTGGTGCGAGGGGCACACCAGTGGCCATCTTATCACTGGTGAATGGTCAATGTTATGCAATCCACTTTAAGAGACAAACTTCTTTTAAATAGTAATAATAATAATAATTCATGGGCAATCCACTTTAAGAGACAAACTTCTTTTAAATAATAATAATAATAATTCATCCAACATTGGTGCTCCGGCATTTCGTGATTCATCCTCTCAACAAAAGCAACTCATCCATGCAAAATTAGTTCAAAATTGCTGTAGATTTCCCACAACCAAATATAAGAGGCAACTAACCTTTATTAATTTTCATAATTTACTATTAATACTCCAATACATTACCATCAATGCACTCTTTAGAACATTTCCTAGAAAGATATATAATCAATTCATTATTGGCAGTCACCATCAGACCATGATTATCAGGTTGCCTCCATTATAGTAACATTTTTAAATAACAATTTGATAATGAGATTGTGATCTTCGTTATCCATTCTTTAAGACTATGATAAATATTCCAAGGAAGATAAACAAGATAAAAAGGTTCTTCAGTTCATTAGTATATACTAGTGCTAATCCACAAACCCAAAACCAACATGTTTTCCTAGAGAAGTAAATGTATAAATGACACATGTTAATCCAAGAACCCAAGGTTGTTTCAACGGAGCTGAAGACCTCAACAAAACTAAGCCAAATACCAGGTGCCTTTAGATCTACTTTCTCAAATCACAGTAGGGTTGAAAAACAACGTTTTTCATTTTAGAAGAAAAATTCAATGCCATAGTTCCCAAGATGATGGCAACTTAACCATAAATACAAATGCACATTCTCTAACCAGCAACTACAAGGTGCATTTGTTTCAAGCCCAGAGTGCAAGTATAGACATTGATGCAGATCCAACCACCAATGCAATATAAGACAACTTCTTTAACCGTAGATTGGAAGCCATTGTTTTATTGTGAAAGAAATCTACAGCTATGAGATCAACAAGAGCCATATACACTAAGATCCCTGAAGAAAGAGAGCCCAACAGACCTTCCAGAATGAGGGCATTAGGGCTGCTGTCATCATAGCCGGTCATATGGAAGACGAGCATTCCTAGCAGTATCCCGATAGGAGTTGTTATCGAGAACATCAAGCACATGTAGCCCACAGTTACCAATCCAAAACCAGCCTGCCAAAAACATATAATAGAATTAACTAATTAATCAGATGAGTATATAATGAAAAGCAAGGTCTGCTTTAATGGTAAAGTAATTGTGTAGGATTCCATGTAGAAGAGCAGAGAAAGCAGGGTAATAGGAATTTTCAAATAAAAGTTTATTGCAGCACACGTAGATGAGCATTAGCACATTGCTTTAAGAGAACTAAAGCAAACACCAAAAAAAGGAGGATTAAAGAAAAGATAAATCATAATGGAAGGGTTGATCAAGCCACTGGGTGATCACGGGAAGTAGGAAAAGAGAAGTTGTAAGAATATGGTCAACTCCAACCTTACAAGTCAGGTGGTTAACATGGTTCTCAAGAAAACGAGACCAAGATTAAAGCAAAGCAGTACAAATAATGTTGGAAAAGACTTGGGCTATATTTGATGAAGTATGAACTAATTGCTAATCTAACAATGGATAAACAACACCACAAGAGAATTCTTCCTGGTAGTTAAGCATGTAGGCAGTGCAAATTTGTCCGTACTAAACTAATTCATATTTGTTAATGTCAAAATCTTTTTTAAATAAAGCAAAATACTAAAGAAAATGATGCCGGTGTGCTGAGAGGCATCTGGAAAATAGTAAAACTTGAGAACATTCTTCGTCCAAGCTTGGAGCTTTTCAACGCACATACAAGAATAATTTACCTTTGAAGGAGCAAAACTGCAAAGTCTAATTCAATTTTAAAAATTGGGTCGTTCTTTTAACTCAGCATAAAGGTTATACACACTAATGAAAATAGAGGGACCTAAAGTTGGACCACATGCATGCCAATCGTAAAAGTAGCAAGAATGGTGTTAGTAGGTTTGATATCATCCCTACATAGCTTGAATTGTGATGTTTCCAAGTAGTATTGGCACAGATTATGTGGCATATTTTGAAGCATTCAGGGACATTGATATGAGCATTCAATGCAAAAACTGCAAAAAGAAGGACAACCATGGAACATTATTAGATCTATAAATAGCAGTGGGAAGCATAATATTTGTTGTCATAAGTGGTAACTCCAATATCTCTACTGGGATGGGTTAGTTTGTCATTGATAACAAGTTTCATTAGAGATCAAAGATTTTCAGAATTTTTTTCAGTCGTAAATAAAAACAAGTCAAACAATCAGAAAATGATCCCTATTTATTAACTTCATTGGTATTTCAGCCCTTGTTTGGAATACTCATCATCATTATCAGTAATGGATGGTAAAAATCATAGCCTTGTATGGTCAGCTCAAAATTGAATGTTTTTGCCTCTCAGCTATCCAAGCAAGCCAAACTCAAATCCAAGCTGAACAGAGCAGCTGGCATTAGCCCAAAAATTAACTATATTATTGATGTATCCAATCGATGATTAGAAGAATATAACGCCTTGTTAGTGACAATCTCATGAGTACGTCAATGATAATGAATTAAAATTTTGATGTTGGGTTAGCAGAATAAATTTGAGCAGTTTTGAAAAGTTTTAAATGAACCCTAACTAAATTATAATGCCCACCACTACTATAGGAATGAATTCCTCTCCCTAGAAAAGTACTCTGGGAGGAATGGTCTCCAAAATGGTTTATTTTCAAAGCAATAGCTTCAAATAGGTGGAATTGAATTACATTATAATAAGCCATGCTAGCACGGTTGGATTTAGTTAATGTGTTGCTTGTGATAATACAAACAATGTCAGGCAATCAGGCAGTAGCCTCATTAATTTTGTCACTCATAAGGAATCTTTCCATTTTGTGTGTATCCATGTTTTGAATATAAAAGTATAGTGGTTGGGCTACCTGGCTCGAGCTAGACCACTTAGCCAAAGTCAAAGTTGTTTTCTCTGAAAATGGTAGTGTGAAAATTTTGAAGTCTTATGAGAAATAAATCCATTAATTAAAGCATTCAAGGAGCTGATGTGAGATGTTAGATTTTTTATGAGCGTTTTGCATGCCATTCTCGAGTTTTTGGTCTCTAATTTGGCCAAAAAGATTAAAATTAAGTATAATACTTTAGTACTTCAAATTTTTTTTTGGAATAGATGCTTTACATCAAGATTCATGCTTTAGTCAAGCTAGAATTTTTATGATACCCTTATATTTTGGCCACTTTTTGCGGTAAAAGTAACTTTGCATTGTATGCAAGATCTATGATTTGCGCTGAATATCAAGTTATACTAGGATTTGAGCCAAAAATTTATGGTCACAACCTAGAAAACATCTCCTCGATCTTATGAAGCAAGTCATTTCTTGCTAAAATCATGAAGTCAATCGGCATGATTCTTGAAGAAAAAATCCTCCAAGTATATTAATCTCAATGATTTATAGGAACTCTCTTAATTGGTTCATAGTTTTCTTATAATTTACGTAATTGTATGTCTCCCTAGGAATTGAATAAAAATCTTCAAGTGAATTAGTGGATTGTTATATGTTTGTGCATTGTCACCCTCCAAAAGAGATGGACATGATTCAAGCTAATTGTTGAGAACTTTATAGGATCAAAATTTTCTCACTAAAACACATCTTTAGTTTATTGGAAGCTTGTATGGATTTTGAATATCCTCTTGAATTTTGTAGTTGATGAATACCTTAGGTGGTGTTGAGTAAAGATGTTTTAGGTCATCAGATCTTGTGCACCAAGAAGTTTTTACTAGACTCGAATGCTATCCTTTTATCATTACATCACATTCTTCCCTCTGACAGGCTATGTTAGGCGCTTCTCAAATCCTTTTACCATACACGTTCTCTCACTAGGCTCACCTACCAACAAGCACTCCCAAAGTATTTACGCAAGAATCTTGCTTAAAATAAGTATAATTTGAGGGCTTGCTCATTTGAAACCCCAAAGGACCTTTAATTAGCAAAGCTAATACGTACACATATGCCCAATTAGTGCTCATTCATAAGTAAGCCCTCTCAAGGAGTAGATGACCTTCTAGGTTTCACTCATTAGGGACTTCATAAGAATTTTAAATAAGTGAAGGTTATAACTATATACTATCCGAATAGAGCTTGCTCGTTGATGCCAATCTCAAAGATGTTTTAGGTCATCAGATCTTGTGCACCAAGAAGTTTTTAGTAGACTCGAACGCTATCCTTTTATCATTACATCACATTCTTCCCTCTGACAGGCTATGTTAGGCGCTTCTCAAATCCTTTTACCATACACGTTCTCTCACTAGGCTCACCTACCAACAAGCACTCCCAAAGTATTTACGCAAGAATCTTGCTTAAAATAAGTATAATTTGAGGGCTTGCTCATTTGAAACCCCAAAGGACCTTTAATTAGCAAAGCTAATACGTACACATATGCCCAATTAGTGCTCATTCATAAGTAAGCCCTCTCAAGGAGTAGATGACCTTCTAGGTTTCACTCATTAGGGACTTCATAAGAATTTTAAATAAGTGAAGGTTATAACTATATACTATCCGAATAGAGCTTGCTCGTTGATGCCAATCTCAAAGATGTTTTAGGTCATCAGATCTTGTGCACCAAGAAGTTTTTAGTAGACTCGAACGCTATCCTTTTATCATTACATCACATTCTTCCCTCTGACAGGCTATGTTAGGCGCTTCTCAAATCCTTTTACCATACACGTTCTCTCACTAGGCTCACCTACCAACAAGCACTCCCAAAGTATTTACGCAAGAATCTTGCTTAAAATAAGTATAATTTGAGGGCTTGCTCATTTGAAACCCCAAAGGACCTTTAATTAGCAAAGCTAATACGTACACATATGCCCAATTAGTGCTCATTCATAAGTAAGCCCTCTCAAGGAGTAGATGACCTTCTAGGTTTCACTCATTAGGGACTTCATAAGAATTTTAAATAAGTGAAGGTTATAACTATATACTATCCGAATAGAGCTTGCTCGTTGATGCCAATCTCAAAGATGTTTTAGGTCATCAGATCTTGTGCACCAAGAAGTTTTTAGTAGACTCGAACGCTATCCTTTTATCATTACATCACATTCTTCCCTCTGACAGGCTATGTTAGGCGCTTCTCAAATCCTTTTACCATACACGTTCTCTCACTAGGCTCACCTACCAACAAGCACTCCCAAAGTATTTACGCAAGAATCTTGCTTAAAATAAGTATAATTTGAGGGCTTGCTCATTTGAAACCCCAAAGGACCTTTAATTAGCAAAGCTAATACGTACACATATGCCCAATTAGTGCTCATTCATAAGTAAGCCCTCTCAAGGAGTAGATGACCTTCTAGGTTTCACTCATTAGGGACTTCATAAGAATTTTAAATAAGTGAAGGTTATATCTATATACTATCCGAATAGAGCTTGCTCGTTGATGCCAATCTCAAAGACTTCTAATAAGAATCTTATCTAATACTACGCGCCCTTCTAAAGCTTACTCGTTAATGAGCAAATTCAAGGACTTGTTCAATGAGCATATTCAAGGAATTGAAATAAGAGCTGACTCTATTTACACGCTTATCCTAGAGAATCACTTACTGATGAGTGCTCCATGAAAGTTAATGAGAAGCATTTCCAATACTAGATGACTTTTTTCGGCTCATATGCTTGTGGGTTCTCTAAGAGACATTGAAGAGGTGGAGACCCTAATGACACATGAGTTTCCTACGGCTCACTCATCAATGATCCTTTCAAAAATATTTAATTAAGACTCTATCAATTATCGCCCTTTCAAGTCTTTCTAATTAGTGAACCTTATTATGGAATTTTATTAAGATTAGAAGCCATGTTATTGTTGTACAAAAGATTTATGATGACTTTAAGATAAGATTACATTATATTGATTCAGCTTTGATCTGGCCATTATAATAACTATAAGATCTATTAGAAGATACGTCAAAACCGATACAAGAGACCCAAAGAAAAAAACATAGAACATAAATGCACAAAAAAACAACAAAAAATACAAAGTACAATACAATTTAATGTGGAACAACCAAAAGAACAAGAAAAAATCACAAAGTCGCGCCACACCAAAAAATATTATGAATATGTGGAGAATTATAC